TCAAGGCTAGCACTCTACCACTTGAGCCACAGCGTCACTTCTGGCTTTTTTCTTTTTGCTTATGTGGTGCTGAGCAATCGAACCCAGGGCCTCAGGCATGCAAGGCAAGTGCTCTACCACTGAGCCACCTTCCCAGCCCCATGAGTACATTTCTTATCAAGCATTGTTGCCTCCTCTTTTGTTTCCCCTTACCATCCCTGCCCTCTCATCTCCCCCCCCCCTTCCACCTTCTTAAGGCATAACTCACTGTTGCTTTTGTTATAGTGGTGATTGTTGTACTGGAATTTGAACTCAGATTCTTGCACTTGCTAAGTGGGAGCTCTGTCAACTTGCCATATCCAAGCTATATCCTCCAGCCCTTTATGTTTACTTTATTTATTTGTTTGTGTTGATTATTTTTTAGATAGGCTATTGTTTATGCCTGAGTGGACCTTGGCTGCGGTCCTCTTCCTTGTATTTGTTCATGTTTCTGGGGATGGGAGTCATGCCCAGACACTGTTTGAGATGGAATCTTTTGGACTTTAATGCCTGAATCAGCCTCACCTCAATCCTCCTATCTCCACCACCCAAGTAACTCAGGTTGAAGTGATGCTGTAGCTCAAGTGGTAGAGTGCTAGCCTTGAGCTGAAGAGCTGAGGAACAGCACTCAGGCCCAAAGTTCAAGCCCCACGACTGACAAAAAAAAAAAAAAAAAGCCAAGTAACTCAGGTTACAAGCTTGAGCCACAACTCTGGCTGTACATTAGTAATTCTTGATAGAGTGTCACATTCTTTGCCAGGGCTGGTCTGTACTACAATTTTCCTGTTTATGCGCCCGCGCGCATGCCCATTCAGGGCCTAGGCACTATCCCTGAGATTTTTGCTCAAGGCTAGTGCCTCACTTGAGCCCTACTTCTGGCCTTTTGGTGGTTAACTGGAGATAGTTTCATGGACTTTCAAGCCCAGGTTGACTTCAAATAGTGTTCCTCAGATCTGAGCCTTCTGAGTAGCTCCAGCTTCCAGCTTTGGTTTTTTGGTCAGTGATGGAGTACTGTTGCTGAGCCTTTTGCTCACAGCTAGCGCTGTACCACTTTGAGCCACAGCTCTACCTCACATTTTTTGGTGGTTAATTGGTAAGAGTCTCATGGATTTTCCTGGCTTTGAATGATGATCCTCAGATCTCAACCTCCTGAGTAGCTAGGATAGAGGTATGAACCACCAGTGCCTTTGTTTTTTGAGTTTTTGTTTTATTTTTTTGCCAGTGCTAGGGCACTGAACTCAGGGTCTGAGCACTGTCCCTAAATTTCTTTTGCTCAAGGCTAACACTCTACCACTTGAGCCACAGTGCTACTTCCAGCTTTTTCTGTTTATGTGATACTGAGTAATCGAACTCAGGGCTTCATGCATGCTAGGTAAGCACTCTCCACTAAGCCACATTTATAGTCGTCCTGTCTGTGTCTCCTCGCCCCCTTCCCGCCCCGGCCCCCCCCCCTTGCCCCCAGCGCAGCTTTGTTTCATAACTTGTTTCTTGGTCTGGCCTCAACTTGCAATCCTTCCAGATCTCTGACTCCCAAGAAGCTGGAGTTACAGGCATGAGGCACTGTGCCCTTGATCTTTTAGTGGTGGTTGTTGTTCTAGTATTGGGGCTTGAGCTCAGGACCTTGTGGAGTCCTTTGGTTTTTTTACTCAAGGTTGATGCTCTATCATTTGAGCCACACTTCCACTTCAGCTTTTTCCCAATTAATTAGGGTTAAGAGTTTCACTGAGTTTTCTGCCTGGACTTTGAATGGTGATCCTTAGAGCTCTGCCTCCTGACTAGCTAGGATTACAGGTGTGAGCTGCTAGTATCCAACCCCATTTCATCTTTGGGTACTTTAAATGTTTTGAGACGCATTCTCCCATCTTCTTTTCCTTTTCATCTATAAAACTCATGTTCTGTGACATTTTCTTTGGAGCTGCACATATAAACACAAGTAGAGCAGTGCAGAATAGCACTTTATGAGTGAGGATGACTTACACTTACTCAGAACCAGAGAGGCTATGGTAAGAAATAATAAGAAAAGAGATCCAAGCCTATAATCTAGCTACTCAGGAGGCTGAGATCAGAGGATTGAGGTTCAGGGCCAACCTGGGCAGGAAAAAAAAACACAAAAAAAGAAGTAGAGCTGTGGCTCAACTTGTATTGTGCTAGCCTTGAGTAAAGAATCTCAGGAGCCGGGCACCGGTGGCTCACTCCTGTAATCCTAACTACTCAGGAGGCTGAGATCTGAGGATCATGGTTCAAAGCCAGCCCAGGCAGGAAAGTCTGTGAGACTCTTTTTTTTTTTTTGTCAGTCA